CTACTTATACTTGTTTATTATAACTTTACTTTAAAACTAACCCCTAACCCTAACCCCTATCTCTAAAAAATGCACCCGCAAGAAAATTTTTTGTACTGGCACTTCAAGATCATACACTTTGCTGTTTTTTTTTCCTTTTGCCATATAAGTTTTTTAAAGAAATTCTACATCTCACTTTCTTTATTTCGCTTACGAGATATACTAACATTTTGGTTATGTTCACTACTGTGGTCATCATTATGATCATTATTGGAGTCATTATTGTAGTAATCATTATCGCAGTTATTACCACAGTCATTGTTGTGGTCGTTATCATTATTGCAATCATTATCGCAATCACTTCTATAATTTGATGTATTTTTCTTGGATAAAGAACTCATAATTATAAAAAATAATGTGTTTGCAGTTATTGTACTTTAATAGTCACCTTAGTAGTTTTAGCTAATTTATCAATTTTTTTAATAGGCCTAATGAACAATTAGCAACACTTTTATATATAAATTTACTGATTTTTATTTGCATGGTTCAATGCTCTAATACAACTTATGGTACGTACTCTATATAAAATCGCTTCTAAAAGCAACTTTTCTAAAGAATAATTTTCTAATATATTATTGTATTATATACTTTAAATTTTGCAATTGTGGTAATGAAATATGATTGTTGCGCTAATTATGGTAAGTAATATCCTGTACCATGGTAAGCATGCAAAAACCAAAATTCCCACTTGTACATATACAAATCAGGTTTTTAGACATCGTTTAGGGTTTTAAAAATAAAACAAACCTTATTTGATGGAATACAACCGAACTTGTTAATTTTATGGCCTTAGAATAATAATATGTAGTAATTGTGAAGGCCAATTATTGTGGCAGATCATAATGAAATCCAGATCAAAATGAAATTATAATATAAAATCTTAAAAATAAATTTTTTTGGGGTGCATTTTTTAGAGATAGGGGTTAGGGTTAGGGGTTAGTTTTAAAGTAAAGTTATAATAAACAAGTA